CAGGGAGGGGACCGCCCCCGGCCTGCCCGCAGCAGGGACAGGCAAGCCTGGCCTCAGAGACTGGGAGCTCCTCACCCCAGCTCCTCACCCTCACGGTAGCCACTTGCAGGTCCACAGCAGAGATTTCGGGGACAACCACTGCCAGGGACAGACAGACAGACAGCGCGGTCATGTGATGTGCAGCCGGGCTTGCTGCAGACCCCGCGTCCTACCCAGCCCCGGGGCTCAGCAGAGCTCCGAGCATCCCCTTGCTGCCCTCGAGCCCGCAGCCTTCATGGAAAGCAGCGAGCAACCCCAGCCCATCCCCTGCACGCCTGACAGCCCTGCCCTGGCTGAGGGGAGGTCCCCACCGCCGGGCAGCGTGGCAGAGCATGGGCGGGTGCAGAGAGGAGCCCACAGGACACGCCAGCCCCGGCTGCTCACCAAAGGTCTCCGAGATGGGCAGGAAGACCGGCGCGTTGTCATTCACATCGGTGATGAGGATCCTCAGGGTTTCTGCAAGTGTCCCAAAAACACAGCCCTGGTCACCAGCAGAGCAGCCCTGCAGCACCCTCCTCTGCTGCCCGTGGGAGCCCCATCCTCCCAGCAGGCTCAGGTCCCTGTGGCAGGGACCAAAAGAGCTGGGAACGCCCTCCCTCCATTGCCCAACTGCCCAGCTCCCCCACTTCTCCCCACAGCTCCTCCTGGGCGGTGGGAGAAGCAGGTCCCCCCCCCCACCATGCCCAGTGGTGGTGGAAGGAGGGGGGCCGTTCTGGCTGTAGCGGCTGCCCTTCTCGGTGTACAGGTCTTCTGCCCGCAGCGTGAGCACCACAGTGTCACACAGCTCGTAGTCAATGTCCGAGCTGGTCACCAGCACCGAGCCGTTGGGTGCCAGAACGAACCAGTCCCAGCACACCTCCCCAGCGCTGCTCGTGTCCTTGAAGCAGGCAACCGCCAGCTCCTCGAAGACCAGCGAGTGGTTGGTGTCTGCGTCGGAAGCAACCACTGTGTGGACCACACCGTGCTGTGTGCCGTTCTCGCTCACAGGCACGTCCTGCAGCGAGGACGGCAGGATGGTGGGGGGCTCATCGTTGACGTCTAGGATGTGGACCACCACTGAGACGTTTGCGATGTCCCCCACGTTTTCTGCAGCTGTGTTCTCCGCCAGCACCACCAAGGAGAAGAACTTTTCTTGCAGGGTGTCGTAATCCAGGGATATGTCAGGGTCCACGGACAGCTGCCCACTATAGTACCCTGACCCCAGCTGGGATGAGCGGATCAAGAAGTTGCTGGAGCCGCTGCCCCTTTGAAGTGTGAAGGAAATGCGGGAATTGATCTCCGTCCGGTCGGCATCTGTGGCTTCCACGTCACCCACGAAGGACCCTGCAGGTGGAAACAGTCACTCAGTGCCCAGTGGACATTGACTCTGGGGCACCACTGGTCCCACAAGGCTGGCTACACAGCTTCTACCTGGAGAGTCTTCAAAGACTGAGAACTCATAGGACTGGTTGAGGAACATGGGTGTGTTGTCATTCATGTCCTGCAGGAGTTAAAGCCCATGGTTGTAGCCACTCCAGGAAACCAGGTCTCCCACAGCAGGCTGGGGACGGGAGCGTGGACACCTGCCTGCCCACAGGCAGGGGGGCAACGAGGCTTCTTCCGCCCTCCTACCCCCCGCAGCA